AATGGTCTGTTGGAGAGGGGCGTGGCTCTGAAATTTATTATTATCCTGAAGGCTCTGTATAAAATCACCTCAGGCAAAGTAAGGACACAACCACCTGTCTCCATGGTTCCGAACCACCAGAGGGGTTAGGTAGGGTTGCTCGATTTATCCATTCCTCTTTAACCTCGCCATCGATGAAACTTCTGAGGCAGCTCCGAAGGAAATGCACGTTGGTGGTGTAGATCTACTGCTCGGAGAACGGCTATTCGACCTTGAACATGCAAGTAGTTCTGAGGTACAACAGCGTGATTTTGAGCATGATGGAGATCGTCAATCAACAAGTGAAGTCATCTGGAAACACCGGCTTCGGTGGCTTGGACATGTGTTATGCATATCGTCTCAACAGTTTCCACGCCGTTCATTGTTTGCTAGCGATGGGACTGGATGGAAGAAGCGGGTGGTCAGTGTATGACGTAGCGCCGTGGGATGAAGGACAGTCGTATCGGGTTTAGCATCAGTGGCTTGAGAAGTTATCAGGTATGGCTCAGAATCAAAACCAATGGTGGTCACGCCATAGCTTCCTTCTATCTTCTGCTGCCGAAAAGTAATGCATATGTTTAGGTTGGAATTCATCATGGACTGACATCAGTTGGAGGAATATCGAAAACGGAGCACTGAACAGCTGTTTCCTCCTGGTATGGGACTCTCCAGCATTGCGTACCCATGGCGCTGCAGGGGTCGAACTCAGGACCCTCAGCTTCCTTGACCAGGATGCTGTCATTGAGCCACTAAGTCGGGATCCGATGATCCGTATTTCCTACTGTCCGACGTGCGGACAGTCACCCAACGACCACATTGGATATGGGTCGCGCTGTGCTGCGAACTAACAGAAACAGGAAATATGAACCATCAGATTCTGGCCCAGTGGCTCAACGGTAACGTGCTGGTCACAAAAACTGAAAATCCTGGGTTCGATCCCTGGCGGGGTCGTGGGTGCGCGCCTTTGCAGAGTCTCACGCCAGGACAAAATGGCTGTCCACTGCTTCCAGATTTTCAACGTCCTTTCAACTGATGTCAGTCCATGGTGAATTCAAACTTAAAATCAATTAATAAATCTCCACAAACCTCCAGATAAAACCATTGCATGTTTGGTTTTGAATATACCTTACTAAACTGCCCTTCTAATCTTTCTATTTCTTTCATTGTTTTTTTTTCATTCACTGCGCCATACCTTTATAATGTTGTTATACTATCTTTGTATGGTGCATTTCTTCGCGCCCTTCCTATACTATGTCGGTGTTCTAATAATTATGATAAAAGAGAATATTTGTAGCTCAGGTGGATGGTCTTGGTTATATTGTGTTCTCTGAGCTGGGTTGTTTAATCGTGAAGCTTTCATCGCCTTGTTAGACAACATCATCAGCACTAACTTCAGTATGAAGTAAGCTGTCAATATCTCTCCGTGAGTGATTTAGTAGCTTGCTCTGACGATGTGGTCTGTGATTGGTTGTTTCCTTCGATTGTTGTGTCATTGATTGTATAGACTTTCCTGTTGGCTGTTCCTCTGCTTCACCTCTGACCTTTCTGTCGTTTATCATTTTTCTTATTGGTTGATAGATCGGGTCTATGTCTATACATCTATTGATTGCTGACTAACCTGAATGCCAAGCTTCTAGAAATTCTCTGACATTCTTTGTGTTTCCTCTGTCCGAAATTTCTACATTGTCCATAATTATCCACGTGCATTGAAATGAGTGACGAAATGTCGTGGCGTTTAACAGTCAGTTGGTGCTCATGTAGACGAAGGCGAAGAGGACGACCATTTTGTCCAGTGTAGCGTTGGCTACAGTTATTGCAGTTGATTTTGTAAATGATATTGGGTTTGTCTTCTTTGCTTGTCGCGTCCTTTGGTCTGCATAATAGTGTTTGGAGGGAATTTGTTGGTTTATGAGCCACAGCAATTCCAAGTGGTCTCACCAACCTTGTTGTGATTTCTGATACATTCTTTATGTATGGTAGGACGATGCGTTTGTTGATTTCTGTCGATGACTTCGTAGTTGGTGATGCACGGGATAGGCATCTTTTGATAAAGTTTCGTGGGTAGCCGTTCTTCTTTAGGGTGGATACCAAGTAATTTCCTTCGTTTCTCCGTGAAGTTGTTGTGCTGCAGTGTGTTCTCGCTCTTTTGAATAGAGTCGGCATGCAACTGATTTTGACTGTTGTTGCTACTGTAGTTGAGGATTTGGTCAGTGTGTGTTGGCTTTCTGTACACTTGGGTTTCCAGCTTTCTGACATTTGTCCTACTGACTAAAACATCCAGGAATGGTAATTGGTTGTTTGATTCTTTCTCCATTGTGAATTTGATGTCATTGAAAACGTTGTTGACCAAACTGCGTTATCAACTTATCAAAACAATCACTAACAAAAATGGAAAAACTTCTCCTTCAAAAAAAATTGAATTACAACACAAGAGATGTTTCGAAACCAGAATTCTTTGCGGCATTAGAATCCTAACTTAAAACATCAGGATTAAATGAGGTCACTCAGCAAGAAATTCGGCAAACAATCGTACCACTAACCAGACAGAGGAGACATGCTCAAATGAACACTCAAGAACAGAAAATAATAAAAAGACTGAGAAATAGGAAAGATATCGTTATATTTCCAACAGACAAAGGACGCACTACAGTAGTTATGGACAAAGAAGACTATATCAAGAAGGCAGAGGAATTACTCAAAGACAAAAATGTGTGTCAACCACTTGAAACCAACCCTATTCAAAAGTTCGACAACCAGATCAATAAAACCTTGAACAAACTCTTCAAAGCAGAAGAAATAACAACGCAAGACAAATGGCGTATGAAATCGAATGGACCTATCCTTCCTCGATTCTACGGCAGACCAAAACTACACAAACCCGATATCCCTCTACGACCAATAGTCTCGTTTCCGGGAACTTCAACATACAACATATCAAGAGAACTTTCGAGAAAACTGAAACACCTTGTCCAATCATGCGGACATTTCACCAAGTCACCGACGGAATTCTTAGAAAAGATCAAAAATATTAACATAGAAAACGATGAGTTAATAATATCCTTCGATGTTACAGCACTATACACATCCATCGAACCTCAATTGGCCAAGGAAACGATACCCCTCCTGATCAATGAAGACGAAAACCTTTCAGAACGCACAAAACTCAAATGTTCAAGTCTGATGGAACTCATCGACCTTTGTATGACAACATACTTCCAATTCAACGGCAAAATATACAAACATATGAAAGGAACTTCAATGAGATCACTGATATCCGGATTAATAGCAGAAGCAGTGATGCAGAGACTGGAAGCCATTATTCTACCTGTGATCAAACCAAAAATTTGGATTCGTTATGTAGACGACACTTCTGTCATCATTAAAAAGAATGACATACAGAACACCTACAGTTTGATCAACAACGTTTTCAATGACATCAAATTCACAATGGAGAAAGAATCAAACAACCAATTACCATTCCTGGATGTTTTAGTCAGTAGGACAAATGTCAGAAAGCTGGAAACCCAAGTGTACAGAAAGCCAACACACACTGACCAAATCCTCAACTACAGTAGCAACAACAGTCAAAATCAGTTGCATGCCGACTCTATTCAAAAGAGCGAGAACACACTGCAGCACAACAACTTCACGGAGAAACGAAGGAAATTACTTGGTATCCACCCTAAAGAAGAACGGCTACCCACGAAACTTTATCAAAAGATGCCTATCCCGTGCATCACCAACTACGAAGTCATCGACAGAAATCAACAAACGCATCGTCCTACCATACATAAAGAATGTATCAGAAATCACAACAAGGTTGGTGAGACCACTTGGAATTGCTGTGGCTCATAAACCAACAAATTCCCTCCAAACACTATTATGCAGACCAAAGGACGCGACAAGCAAAGAAGACAAACCCAATATCATTTACAAAATCAACTGCAATAACTGTAGCCAACGCTACACTGGACAAAATGGTCGTCCTCTTCGCCTTCGTCTACATGAGCACCAACTGACTGTTAAACGCCACGACATTTCGTCACTCATTTCAATGCACGTGGATAATTATGGACAATGTAGAAATTTCGGACAGAGGAAACACAAAGAATGTCAGAGAATTTCTAGAAGCTTGGCATTCAGGTTAGTCAGCAATCAATAGATGTATAGACATAGACCCGATCTATCAACCAATAAGAAAAATGATAAACGACAGAAAGGTCAGAGGTGAAGCAGAGGAACAGCCAACAGGAAAGTCTATACAATCAATGACACAACAATCGAAGGAAACAACCAATCACAGACCACATCGTCAGAGCAAGCTACTAAATCACTCACGGAGAGATATTGACAGCTTACTTCATACTGAAGTTAGTGCTGATGATGTTGTCTAACAAGGCGATGAAAGCTTCACGATTAAACAACCCAGCTCAGGGAACACAATACAACCAATGATAATAATAACAATAAGTCGAAATAGACTTATCCATATCTCATTTTCGTTTATATATTTAATACCTCTATATACTTTGTTTTCCACCTCCTGTTACACTGTCTTGTCTCCCTCTTTGTCTTTCTAATCGTTACTGGTGTCACTATTTTCACCTTTTAATCGTATTGTCAGTGATGCAATGGGAAATGTGTAAATTTGCATCTACAAACAGTTTAACTAGGTCGTAGTGCGTTCCTTTTTGTCTTTCTTAGTTGAGGGATGTCGCTTATATATTTAAGGATTTTACTTTCAGCCTGTAAGCGTCACGTTCAAACCCTCTTTCACCTCCAAATTACGTAACTGTGTAGTAAATAATGTCTCAGTTTAGCTAAGTTGGATTATTCCCAGTTGTTATCTTATTTCTACTACTTTTGACAATCTCTGTAGTAAATTTTAAGCTTCAGCTTGTTGTTATCAACACCTACTACTCAGTAGTGTTTTGGCGTCCGTGCTGGGATCACCTTTTTACTATTTTTTATTTTATTCGCAGATGGAGTCGTGTTCGCGTTAACACACAAAATGCCAAGTAACTGAACGTTTTTCATATAACATTTATTCAGAATAATTAATGCTTGTATTCGAAAAGTCATGTCAATTTTCTATTCTCATTCGTTTCTTGGCTGTTCGGTAAGCTGTTTCCGATCAGAATTCATACTTGTAGTCCTGTGGATGCAATAGCTACATGGTTTGGACTTCTCTCTTGGCTTCGTTTCTTGATTCGGAAGTTGTGCTTAAGCATGGTCCTAACCTCAGCTCAGAAGATGTTCTCATGGTTGAATTTACACTTTCAGGGGAAACTATCTATCTAGTTGATGTTTTATTGCAAATGAACACAGCTGCTCTCGCTCCTGAGTTTGCAGCATTAGTAACAAAGTAAGCACTTCATTCTATAATATTTTTGTAGGAGAATATTTTCTTTGAATAAATTAACTTTTGAATGTCATGAGAATGCTATCAGGATTTTGATGCTTTATAAGTGGCTGGATATTAACTTTCCTCACATTGTGAAACCGACACATGAGGTAAGTTTAATGTTAGTAGATATGCAGAAGTGAAGGAACTCGTCGGTAAATATTTAGATACAGATTCCGTTTTTCTCTGGATACGTCAAAGAATACGCACTAATATAAAGTTAGCATATTGGAGAAAATGCACAACACTCGAGAAGACTCAAGTGCTTCTAAATGCTTTCGACCTGGCTACCTTGGCAACACTGCTTAATCCATATTCTGTGATGGAAGCTTTATCTAGTCCTCGAGATGATAATGTAAGGACCTTTTAGGTTTTATACAATTTAACAGTTTGATAGGCAAAATGTTGTTTCTCCCAAGAAACAACGACATAATTTAAAAGAGAAACAAAAAGTAAGTGGAAAACATCACTTGAGTAGTGCGCAGTTAATGGATACTGCTTTCACAGAAACAGATACGGGTTAGTTTAAGCTTGGGAATTTAATGTATATACTTAGAAATGAGTTCAGAAGATAATAGTCTCCAATACCTGTCAACGCAAACAGAAGACTTGAGAACTCCACATCCAGAAAACAAAAATAATCCATCAGTAATCAACCACAGGGTTCTTGAAAAACTTACCCCTGATAACGTAATATCTTATTCCAAAAGAAAAACAACACGAGGTAAGGCATGAGCAATAAAAATGAGTCATATGTGGTCTATACTAGATTACAACAGATCACCAAAAAGAAGAATATTGCGTCAATATGATCTCAGCATTCCGAGTGGAGGAACAAATCCATTGACTCAACAGAATACGCTCCCTAAGAAAGAGAACAAGGAATTCGTAGTTGACGGTAAGTACATTTCTATAGAAGTTGTGTCTATTTGCTCAGAGTGTCGACAGGAGGCCTGCAGCCCTGCCAAGATTCCTCCAAAGGTAAGTCATGTTGACGCCAGGAGCATCCACGAGCAGGAAACACTAGACGGTAAGTGGTTTTAACTAGCAATAACATGGCTTAGTTTCAGGCAACACTGACACATCTAGGTGTTCACCGGGCAGGAAACCAGTAATGCCACTTGAGGCAATTGAGTTCGGTATGGAAGCGAGTCTCTCGAGTGAGGGAAGTACACCGAGAAAGAATAAGAACAAAACATTAATAGGAAACAGTAAATGTAGTTCGGTGAGAAGAAGGAGCATGCTTCAATCTGTGAATACTGTCTGCCAAGAAACTCTGAAAGTTCTCGAATCTGAAACTTCATGCGAGGTATACCTTTCTTGGTTAATTATTGTTTTCAGAGAGATGTTGGACAAGGCAAATACTCGCTGCGCAACAAACGTCCCCTGAAATAGATAAGGTTGTATCGAGTTACACGCTGGCTAATCACTTTTGTTAGGTCTCGGTTGAATGCAGAATGCTTTTTACAGTCTTCGCCACACTACCAGATTTAGCAGAATATATGATTATTTGGGGGTATCACGCTGAATGTGTCAAGCGCATTTACCTCAATAAACAGTATAAAAAAGCGATTTTCATCTCAAACGTTCTATTAAAATGTTACTAATTGACAGTATGTCTTTCATCACTTAAATTTTCATAGTATCGATGTATATACTCTGCAACCTGAATTCCTTCAGGGGGTGGCCATAACATATGTCTTCTCACGCTACGAGTGTTTGATCCCCAAAAAGCCCAAAGCACTCCAGACATTCTGTTGTAGTCTGCGAGCAGTCTCCAAACAATGCGCGATAACCTCCAACGGGTCTTGCATCCTCGCCTCCTAGAAGTAACGATACATCTGCTTGATATACGTGTCCAATTACTATCGCGAGGCAACGAAGCCATATATAGAGTTGCTAGGTCCTGAAAACGAAAGATATATGTGCAAATTGTAAACTAACCTGAATTTCTTTAGGCAGCACTGTGTTTTTCCGAATAGCATTTAGTCTGATCCGCAAATCGCAAAAGTGTGCAGCAACCTGCCTACGCTTATGATCACGAATCATAATAGCATTCTGAAAGCCATGATGAACTGTGTATGGGGAATATGTAGAATAGTGTGTTACTTTTGCGAGAGCAGTACGGTGGGTAGTCACATAGATCCTCCTTCAACAGTCTTTCAACCTCTGGATTATTATGATGTTCTGGGGTTTTTCCAGGTATTATTTGACGTTCGTATAGTATTTTCGGTGGGACTAAGGGTGGGATAGACAGTAACCTCATTTTACTACACAGATTGTTTGTTAAACCAGTAATGTTTGTTTTTATAAGTAACGGTCTAAAGAGATTCATCTGTAAAGAAAATGTGGTTAAATATGTATGTGAGGAACACAACCGAAAAAATGCTGCCATCCAAGTTGTGATAGATCTCGACAAAACAGAAAATTAACAAGCGTATGCAAATGTAGAAATTGACACCCATAAAGATGCTGCAGAAGAGGTATTGCCCATACATTGATCGAATGTTAGAGGTTATGAGGGGGGAACAAAATGATTTTTAACCACTTTACATAACGCTGAATCGTAGCATTTAAAAGAATTGGGCCAGACATTGGTGAAGGAAATAATAGGAAAGTAAAGCAGTGAATATGCACAGATGCCTCATGAGCTCTGAGTTTACACAAATCTCTCTTTCAGGTACCCTAAGAAGAAATAGCCTTCCACAGTGTGGGCAGCCGGGAACTGTCAACCGCCTGCACTCTTCCAGTAGTACACAAGACCCAATCAAAAATAGAGTATTCTCCTCAACTCCGTCTTTTTCCTCGCCTTCACCTCTTGATACTAATGTTAGGCCTCTTACACCTTCTTCAACCTCTCACTCTGTAAACATTGCTAACGATCAAAGTCATCGGAACCTCATTCCTAATCTCCTAAGATCCCACCATCGATTTCATGCAGGAGCTTTCAACTTCCGAACTGTATGCCGAATCAGACACTAAGCATTGTTTGCCAAAACTCTGGAATCTATAGCAATGGATAATTGCTGTCTGAGACACATATACAGGACCTTAGTGTAGCTATTAAATTGACTTCACCTAGCTGTAGTAGTGAATCTTAAAAATCCACCTTAGGAGCATTTGAATAACTCCTTGGTGTAGGCATAGCACTGAGTTGTAGAGCAGAAAGTGCGCTTTTCGACTGGATACCAGTAAACCGTCGTCTATGTGCTGTTCGACTGAATAGATCAGCAAGAACGACGAAGGATCGTGAAACTAGGCGGTGCCTATTCGTTATCTCCGTCTACGCACCCACCAACTGCAGTTCGGATGATAAAAAGAATGAATTCTATGAGAGGTTGTTAATTTCGCTACAGAAAGCAAAACGTTCACACATAGTCAGTAATAGGTAACTTTAACGCCCAAGTAGGGAAACTGAGCCAATCGGAAAGGCATCTTGGAGATATCTACGGAATCGCATGCTAAAAGAACCGACAATGGTGATTGTCCTGAAATATCACTTGTTTCTGGCCAGCATTAACTTGAGGTATAAGCAGAGACGCTATCTCACATGGCGTCCGCCGACTTCAAATCAACGATGAACACAGATAGATCACATTGCTAAAAGCCATGGTTGTAGATGATCGTTGGAGGATTGCTGCTCTGTCTGGAGTGCCAGTTTGAACTCCGATCAAGCGCTAGTACATACTCGTGTAAGTCCACGCCTTACTGGTCGCAGAAGGCAGTGAGGCCTTTTTTGCTCGATTAGCAAATGAGGAAGTCAAATACCCATTTAGAGAGGAATTAGCTAAGCGTTTGTCTGAATGCGAAAACAATGGTCATCCTAAGGAAACCTAGCGTGATAATAAGTCCGGTGTAGAAACTGGTAAAAACAGTTGGCAACCTACACCGGAATGTTGGCAAACTTTATTGGATTTCTGTGAAGTCCTCGGAACTGATTAGTGTGAGAAAACTGGTCCTCGCGTCGATCGCAAGCAGCGATGGGCGACGAGAGCGATAGAGATGAAAAAGGCATCACCGGCTATTTAGGTTTATCAAGGATACCGGCAAGGGGAAAACGATGGTTAGTTAAACCATCACCGAAAAGAATAGGATCTTGATAACGACCCAAGACAGGCAGCTAAAACGTTGGACAGTTAAACTGGCCTTCAGCAACGCTTCAGTTGTCCAACATCCAGCCAGGCCGAACCTGAACGAGACGCAGATGTCGGTCTTCTAACTCTCCTTGAAGTTGAAAAAGCTATATCGAACCTGAAATGATGCAAAGGAGCAGGGCCTGACAGTCTGCCACCTGAAGTTTTCAAGGATAGAGTTAAGAAATTCCTTAGTAGATTGACGGAGGTACTACGTAGTGTATAAGAATCAGGGGTAGTGCCGTCAGCTTGACCTACTTCAGTGATTATTCCAGTCTATAAGAAAAGTGAAAAGTCTTGTAGTAACCATAGGGGAACTAGTTTCACTAATATTGTGTCCAAGATTCTTGAGAAAACAGCTGTCCGACGCCTAACTGCAGATCGAGAACAGCGAACTCAAGAAAACCATGCAGGTTACAGACCTGGATCAGGGTGTATCGATCATATTTTCATCCTCCGACAGGTTCTGGAACACAGGTATGCCTATCGGTGGCCGACACTTGCCATATTCATTGACCTGAGGCCGGCGTTTGACTCAGTCGACCGTAAGGTGTTGCGGTAGTGTCTGACTGTAAAGAGAGTACCGATTAAGTATAGAGCGCTAATCAAAACTCTGTACTCGAACCCACGCAGACGTGTAAGGGCTGGTGGAGAGTTGTCATGTGAGCTGACTACAACTAGTGGTGTCCGCCTGAGATGCCCAATGTCACCGTCCCTCCAAAACTTCGTTACAGACGTAATAATGGATATAACTGTAGGTACGTATGACTTCACAGGAATTGGCCTACTCCCTCGAGGTCATGTGGTTGACTTGGAGTGTGCAGACGATATTTCCCTTGCTGGGTCAAGACGCTAAAAAAAATGCAGTCTTGTGAACGCGTTGAGCAGAAATATAAGTATATTTAGTGTGCGTTTCATACCTTTCAAATATAAAATGATGCTACAGGATTGGTCTGCTGCAAGTATTCCCGGTTTAGTGATAGGGAATGAAGTGGTGGAACAGGCCGAACGGGCTGGCTGGTGGCGAAATCTCAGCTTGGATACAGAAGGCCCATGTGGCACATGCCAACTTGCGTCATCTGTGGAGCCCACTGGCGAGATATCCGACCGCTTACTAAAGGACGATTATGCTGCGCTGAAATCCGTTGTCTTATAATACGCGTGCAAGACATGGCCGTTAAAAGTGGAAGACATGAAGCGGTCAAAGAGTTTTGATCATAGGTGTCTACGTAGCATTGTTCGCGTTTGGTATAATCACCGTATGAGGAATGTTGAGGTCAGGGGAAGGCGTATTAGGCAAGCCGATTGATTAGGTTTTGAACCTTCATCGACTGAGGTGGCTTGGATATGTTTTGCGCATACCGAGCCACCGCCTACCTTGACGTGTCATGCTACGGGAAGCTGGATTAGGTTGGAAGAGGGTTCAGGTTGGCCAGACCAAGATGTGGCACCAGTCGACGAAGTCCCTAACCGTTGGTCAGAGAGATGTATCTAAAACAGTAGAAATCAATGGCTGAGAGCTCCACGTGAAACAGTCGAAAATCAGTCACAATGGTGCAGATGTATTTACTTCTTGACATCTAAAGCTTGAATATTCTCACTAAACGTAGTGTTAAGATTGTTTGTTCCCTCATACAACTTTATCTATTTTGATATGAGTTTTTCTACCCACCTGTTCTCTGTGTATTACTGTGACGTGTCTCAACTTGAAGGAGTGTACATGTGTGCAGGCTTCTACCTTGAGTATGTCAGTCAGTCGAGAAGAAATAGGATACTACTCAGCTACATAAACGTCAATACGTATAGCACGGTTCGGAACCACGAACAACTGGTTCAAAGCCGTTTGCCACCTTCGGGTAGAGGAATATGGCTAACTTTGAGTACCGACAAACATGTTTGTGTTCCAGTGTTTGCTAAAGATAAATTATAATCCATTCACTTTTGATAATAAGATATTGTAGATCTTCAAAGCAGCTGATATCCCTAGAGTTTATACGATGAAAAGAGATGGTTACAGAATACAATTTCACCAAAAGAATGTCATTACCAACCTGCTTGGTTTAGATTTGGAAGACAGAATGCAGAAATCTTTCTGACTAACCTAGCCTACTCAGTTGTGCATCAAAGTCGTTCACCACAAGAATTACATCATTTTTTGGGAAAATTCAGGTAATTAAATATGCATGAATTAGGGGGAAAATCGCGCCTATTATCATATTTGGTGGAACAACTAGACTACCCAAAAACTTGATAGATAGGGCCAGGCTATGACGTGTGACTCGCTGGTTAAAAGTTGAGTGGTCATTTAATTCAGATCTATAGTTCCACAAGGAAGAGCTGATGTGCAAAACAGACTTTGATGTCACTGGGAGTGAATATGTGGTTATAACATGTTAACTACCCAGTGAAAAGCTGTACCTGAAATATTAGTGGTTAGATACTATTGGTTTCATTGATGAGAGTGAACGCCCGACCGATAGCTGCTACCTTGACGTGGTGGTCGGGCTTGCATATCACAATGACCCAACGAGCTATGCTGGTGGAACGCTTGTTCCCTCGAGGTCCTACCATACCAGAAAGGTCTGTTGGGTAGTGGTTAGACGAAAAGCAGTTACCGTCATAGTGTAAATTGCTATACTATGATGGGGGTCTGAGGGCGAAGTCGTACTGCTGCTAGCTGGATGGGGTGTGACAGCAGTAAGGTGTTTCCCTTGGATGACCAGCAGTGCCAAGCTGATGCTGCCTTCTCAGTGGAAGGGGGGGTTAGAAAAGGTCGGCCCCAAAAATAACACACTCCACCACGCCCCACGGTCTGCCGGGCCGGCGGTGTTGGTTCACTTGTCGTTTCCTTTCGCTCATCCGGCCCCAAAAATACAAAAATTCAAAATAATCATACTCAAAAGGCTGGGTGTGACAGGCCTCAAGCAGATGTCCGATGGGCTCTGCGGTCACACAAATCTCTTTCAGGTACCTTAAGAAGAAATAGCCTTCCACGGTGTGGGCAGCCGGGAAGTGTCAACCGCCCTCACAACTCTGTCAGCACCCAAGTTTCTTCTGACTGCTATCCTCCTCCTCCATCATTACCTTCTAATCTTCCTTCACGTCTCTTAATTAATGATGCTGCATCATCTTCAATTTCTCCTACCTCTGCAGCCTTCGACAACGATCTGAGTCCACAGAACAGTGTCCCTGGTCTCCTTAA